GCAAAACATCCTCATACCAAATTAACTTGCCCATTCATCATCTTTAACCATTTCCAAATCAAAGTTGCAATTTATCTCCTAGTTGTGTGCATAGCAAAAGCATATATATTCTTCATGAGAGTAAAAGACCTTGAACGTGGAAAACAAATGGACAGTGGGTCCGGACTTCCAGGTAATTACTGTTAAATGATGTTAATGTGAAACATCATGGTACACATGTAGCATTTCTCAACAGAAGCCATGCATCATTGCCAAAGCAAATTTGAAGAGAATAAATCAAAGGCATTTAAAATAAAATATATTGGCACATAATCTCATTTTGTAACTTTTGTCTTCCTAGTTATTAGAAAGAAAAGATTAGAAAAGAAATAACAAAAGCTAGGCAAAAATTATTGCACTCACCTTAAGTTTTATTTAGAGAATTGCCAATAGAATGATGCAGGAAAACTTTTTGGATGCATAGGGTTTTGTGTATATTGGGGAAGAGATGAAGATATTCACTCATTCATTCATATTTTAATAATAACTACTGATATATGAATGGCCCTTCACAGTTTTAAAAGGGCTTTACTGGGAATTCCCTGGAGGTCCAGTGGTAAAATCTCGGGGCTTTCACTGCTGTGGGCCTGGGTTCAATCCCAGGTTGGGGAAATAAGATTCCACAAGACATGCGGTGTGACCACACACGGACACACACAAAAATTGCTTTCCTAAACATGTAGTAGAAGACTATTGACACAGGAAATATTTCGCAATATATTGCTAAGTAGAAATGCAGGCTACAAAAACATATGCAGTTAAAATGTTATTTTTCTTTAAAAGGAAGAGTGTGTGTGTGTGTGTGTGTGTGTGTGTGTGTGTGTGTGTGTACCCATACATATAAAAAAGATTGAAGACACTGAAATACTATCTATTCTCCTTGGTTGATAAAATGATGGGTACTTCTTTGGTATTTTCCTTTTTCTTTTTCTGTTTTCCAAGTTTCTTGTGCTAAACATGTATTAGTTTTTAAATTAAAAAAAAATTTTTTTAGGGCTTCCCAGGTGGCACAGTAGTTAAGAATCTGCCTGCTAATGCAGAGGACACGGGCCCAAGCCCTGGTCCGGGAAGATCCCACATACTGCGGAGCAACTAAGCCCGTGTGCCACAACTACTGAGCCCGCGCTCTAGAGCCTGCAAGCCACAGTTACTGAGCCCGCGTGCCACAACTATTGAAGCCTACGCACCTAGAGCCTGTGCTCTGAAACAAGAGCAGCCACCGCAGTGAGAAGCCTGCACACCGCAACGAAGAGTAGCCCCCACTCGCTGCAACTAGAGAAAGCCCACACACAGCAGTGAAGACCCAGCGCAGCCAAAAATGAATAATTAAATAAATTTAAAAATTAAAATTAAATAAAATAAAATTTTAGTTGCTTCCATCTAGGCCAGCAGGCACTTGAAAAGATGTTCAACATCGCTAATATTAGAGAAATGCAGATCAAAACCACAATGAGATACCTCACACCAGTCAGAATGGCTATCATCAAAAAGTCTACAAAAAATAAAAGCTGGAGGGGGTGTAGAGAAAAGGGAACCCTCCTACACTGTTGGTGGGAATGTAAATTGATGCAGACACTATGGAAAACAGTATGAAGTTCTTTAAAAAACTAAAAATAGAGCTACCATGTGATCCAGCAATCCCACTCCTGGGCATATACCCAGAAAACACACAAACTCCAATTTGAAATACAATATATAGAATGGATAAATAACAAGGTCCTACTGTATAGCACAGGAAACTATATTCAATAGCCTGTGACAAACCATAATGGAAAAGAATATGAAAAAGAATGTATATGTATGCATAACTTTGCTGTACAGTGGTAATTAACACAATATTGTAGTTCAACTATACTTCAATAAAAAATAAATTAAAAAAATAAAAACACGTTGTTAGATTTAAAAAAAAAAAGAAAAGATACATGTACCTCAATCTTCATGGCCACACTGTTTACAATAGCCAAGACATGGAAGCAACCCAGGTGTCCATCAACAGACAACTGGCTTAACAAGGTGCACATATACAATGGTATATTACTCAGCCATAAAAAAAGAATGAAATATTGCCATTTGCAGCAACATGGATGGACCTAGAGGATATCATAGTAAGTGAAGTAAATCAGAGAAAGACAAATATAGTATTATATCACTTATATGTGGAATCTAAAAAATAATACAAATGAATCTATATACAAAAACAGAAACAGACTCACAGACACAGAAAACAAACTTACAGTTACCAAAGGGGTAATGTGGAGGGGATAAATTAGCAGTATGGGATTAATAGATAGAAGCTACTACATATAAAACAGATAAGCAACAGAGATTTACTGTATAGCACAGGGAACTATATTCAATATCTTGCAATAACCTATAAGTGCTTCCATTGAGCCTCATGACAATCATGTGACATATAACACCTCATTTGACAGAAGAGCATACTGAGTCTCAGAAGAACTGAGTGACCTGCTACTTGACAGGTAGCAAATATTAGAGCTTGGGTTTTCATCTTGGTCATTTGACTCTAAATCTTATGCTCTTTCCTCTACATCACAATGCTCAGTTCTCAGAGCTGGCTTATGTGATGGCTCAGGGTAGCACATTCAGAGCTATCTTTATGTTATCTTTGCAGCAGAGCATCATCCACTCATTTGTACCTGTTAGTCATTCTGTAGAAACCAATTTTCCAATTAAACGAGTAGCTGTTCTGGAAGTGGCACCAAAGTCTTGAAGCAATTAAGCTCCCGCAACAAATCCCTGCAGCTTATTCATTTGAGTAGCCTTTGTTCCAAAGCAGTACACTACGCACCACTCTCAAATCTTTAAAGCTTCCTGGATTCTCTCCTGGACTTTGTCATCTATATTACATGCAATTTTCACTCTTATCAGTTTTTATGAGGTATGTGTTTTTCTGAGACCTTTTTCTTAAAAGCTATTTCTTGCTTCGTAAAAGACCCAGTTCCACTGTGAAAAAGCAAGGAGAGTTATGAGCAGGTAGAGCTATAGAGCTAAATGTGACCACAAGCTCTGCTGGAAGCTCTGAAAATTACCGCATTCCCTCAATACCTCACAAATGAGCTGGGAAGGCTGCTGCTGTTAGCTTTCTGGGCATAGAAAGAGTTCTCAGTCAACTGAGAGTCCCTGCCTTAGGATTTACTGAATACTGTTTTATTCCTTGATTTTCACACAAATTTTGCAGCATCAGGTAAATGTTCTGAATGAGTGACATTGTCCAGATCAGAAAGATTTGGAGTGGAAGCTCTATAACCATTTTGTAAGGTACAAAGGGAAGATGTAGGTTAAGCCAAAATCTTCTGGATTTTGTGTTCCTTTGCCAGATGAAACTATCTTCATCCTTCAGAGAGTTGATGTGTGGTTCTGGGCTTAATAATGATGGTTTCTAGGTGTTTATTTCTTTATTCTGCTTTTTAAAAACAATGCATATCTTTGGCCAGAGGAGAGGATGCTGATATCTAAGTAATATGACCCAGATATGTCTAGACTTCATAGTCAGCCCTGTCCTGGACTCACAGACACCTTGAAGTAGGACTCAGCACTTCTATACTTCTCAACAAGAACAAATTCGACTCCCTGAGACATTATTAGAAACACAGGTTTTATTACAGATTTCATAGAGAGATGCATGAAAGGGTTATATCAAGCACCAGATGGCAAACTTTCACAGAAACTCCTATTAAACATCCCCATGCACCCCACAAAGTTCCCCTCGGCTACCTCTTCACCCTTTAATCTTGTCCACACATAGGCTTCAGTTTTCCCTGGTTCTGGATCTCACTGCCTTGTTCCTTGTCCCTGCCCTCCCCTTCTACCTCCTGCAAATAAATAAATAAATAAAAAGTTTCCAATGCAGAACAAGTTACTGAGCTTTCTTAATCTTGCATCCTCATACCAATCACACTGTCCAGCAAAGAACTTCTTTTGGAATCAGTTGGGTATTATAAATTGCAAGCAATTTTTCTGTGTCACAAATAGTGTTGGCCATCACTAATTATTAGGAAAATGCAACTCAAAACCACTCTATTACCTCACATCTATAAGAATGACTATCATGAAAAAGACAAGAGATAACAAATGCTGGCGAAAACATGGAGAAGAGGGAACTGTTGAGCACTCTTGGTAGAAATGTAAATTGGTAAAGACATTATGGAAAACAGTATGGAGACTCTTCAAAAAAAATAATAAAAATAGAACTACCACATGATCCAGCAATTTCACTCCTGGGTTATATCCAAAGGAAACAAAATCAGTATCTCGAAGAAATATCTGCACCTCATGTTCACTGCAGCATTATTTACAATAGCCAAAACACAGAAACAACCTAAGTGTCCATCAACAGATGAATGGATAAAGAAATTGTGGTGTATATACACCCAATAGAATACTATTCAGCCATTAGAAAAAAAGAAGTCTTGCTATTTGCAACAACATGAAGGAAACTTGAGGGCATTATGCTAAATGAAATAAGTCAGAGAAAGACAAATACTGTATAATCTCACATATAGGTAGAATCCAAAAAACCAAACCCATAGAAACAAAGATAAGATTTGTAATTGTCAAAGGTAGGGGATGGGGAGTAGGTGGGGGTTGTAGTAGCAGGGGATGATGTAATTAGGTGAAGGTGGTCAAAAGATACAAACTTCTAGTTATAGGATAAATAAGTTCTGAGGATATAATGTACAACATGATGACAACAGTTAACAGTACTGTATTGTATATTTGAAAAGTTGCTAAGAGAGTGGATATTAAAAGTTCTCATCATAAGGAAAAAAGTTGTTACTGTTTGAGTTGATGGATGTTAACTAATCTTATTGTGGTGATAATTTTGCAACAGGTACATAAGTTGAATAATTATGTTGTATACCTTAAACTTATACAATGATATATGTCAATTATATCTCAATAAAACTGTCGGGGGGGGGGGACCAATAGTGTTGGCTTACCGTGCCAATTCCTTCTGAAAAGGTGGGTCCAAGTTCCGAGGAGGTTTTCTTCAAGGGTATTTCAGTAAAATCTTGAGTCTGTCTTTAGCAGAGCCATCTAGTTGGGATGTGAAGAGACAGGGCTTGAGATGGGAGGAACCTAAGGAATTTAAAGTGAAGAAAAGAGAAATTAAAATTTATTAACTATTGTGCTGGGTTCTTAACATTCTTTATTTCATTGCATCTTCACAACTAAATTTTACAGATGAAGAAACTAAGGGCTTAGAGATGTTAAAATAAATTTGTAAAGTCTCATTGCTTCTAAGAAGCACAGCTAGGATGCTAAGCCAAGTCCATTTACTCCAAAGTCTAAGGTCTTTCCTTATACTCCATCACCTACCGTGGGTTTTGGATTTCCAATATTTAGAAAACTGCCTCCTCTACCATCCCATCAAGATCCCTGGCAGCTCAGGGGTACATCTGTCCACAGAAAGCCATTTCCCCTCTTACACTGACCTGGCCCAGGGACAGTTGGATTTAACAGCCTCTCCTGGCCCAGTCTCTCTTTGTCCCATTGCCAGTTCTATCCAAGCAGGCACATGAATCCCTGACATCTCATAGGAAGGTGAAAGTATTGGCATTGTTGGGAAAGGGATGATGGATGAACTTGAGTGCTGTAATGGAAAGGACCCTGAACCAAGATGTAGGCTACACAGACTACCACAGAATAAGTCAGTGTGTTTTCCTATCTTTGATCTCTTTGGAAACAAATGTCTGCATAAAATGAAGTGAAACAGGAAATAAAAGAGAATTCATGTTTGTGGACTGTTTCTCATAATGTCTCTCAAACATACAAAAGTAAACCTTTTTCTTTATTTTATATTTGAATGATTTAGCAACTTGACATGAACAGATTTAGTCTTGCAGTATAAAATAGGACAGAACATATTTTAGTTCTTTCTGTCTTCTCCAAGATGCATTATATTTATATATCCAGGGCAGGCTGTATGTAGACCTACTTCAGCTGCCCACTCAATGCCTGACGTGTCATTGCTCAAGTTACTTCTTTTCTTTCTGCCCTAATTTCATTGACTATAAAAGGAAGAATGTAGACTAGATAACCCCCAGGTTTCCTTCCAGCCATGTGGTTTACAGAGTGGTGAACTCTGCAAAGAATGACTTCCCTTGTGGGAAACACTGCCTCCTATTCTGTGAAGGATCTCAAACTCAACATATTTACCCACAATCATAGCTCCCTTAAGGTTATCCCCAAAAGTACAGGTAGAAAGGGGGATAAGGGACAGAATGTAAAGAAAGCTGAGTGGAAGGTGAGAGTAAGTCTGAGGAAAATGTAATTGCGGGTTAACATGACTTTGCAGTTTTTTAGGGTACGTGTGTGGATTCCACTTGCTCTAGTTATTTATCCCCAAGTTTTATTTATTATATTTTACATAATAGTAACATTATACTACATTAAAGAGTAGACCATGTGGAATTCTTGATTTTGGTTTTTGGATTTTCAGAGAAATCACTTCAGAGACGGCCTTAGCTATTTGCCCACATGTATGTGGGTAGGGATTTTTCAATCATTAGCTGTTTGGATTTTAAACTTCTTCAGATAGTTACAAAAATTATACATTGATATAGAAATCCACTGAGAATTAAAGGAGCCCTGTCTCCTGGTTATTTTTGTACAGTTACACATGAGATTTATTCCTGGATTAGTACAGAGAACTTTTTGACTAGACTGAGATAATCCCAGACAGCTTGTGAATGTTGTCACTGACAGAAGGCAGGCCTGCATTTTGAAGACACTTGTCAGACTGTGACCTGTGCAGCATTTAACACTGTATCTCACTCGCTCATCCTTGAACCATTCTCTTCTCTTGATTTCTATGACACCAGATTCTCTTATTTTCCTTCTCTTTGTCCTCTTTTTCTTGGCCACCTTTCTAGGTCACCCTTCTTTTCACAACCTACTAGTCTACCTAGGAGCTGTCATTCACTCTCAAGATGCTGATCACCACCTCTACCCTGATAAGTCCCACAGCTATATCTCTAGCCCAGACTGTGTCTTGACCTATACACCTAAACATCCAACTGCCTACTCAACATCTACACATGGATGGCCCATGGGGATCTCTAACTCATGTCCAAAATGAATCTCATCACCTAACTCTAAACCTGACCCTCTCCTCTGAGTTCCCTGTCTCCACAAATGACTCCACTATCCACTCAGTTGCCTGAGCCAGAAAATTGAATAGCATCCTTGATACTTCTTCTTCCTTCCATACCCAACACCCATCCCATCGATCATCAGACTCAGTAGAATCTAACTCTGCATCATCTCTGGAATCTGGCCACAGCTCTTCTGCACTTGTGCTCCCTTAACCCAGGGGACCCCCATCTCTTACTTGGAACACTCTAATAGCTTCTCCTCTGATTCCCCACTCTGCTCCTCTTCATTCCATTCTCCACTTTACAGCCAGGGTGAGATTTTAAAAGAAGAAATCTGATCATTTTGTCCCTCTGCTTCCCATGGCTCTTAAGTTTAAGTCCATACTCCTTAAGATAGCTTACAAACCTTCTCTATCTTGAACTCCACACTCCAGAGTTAACACATTTTTTTTTCAGTTCTTCCAGAGAGCCACAATGTCTCTCACCCACAGGCTTTTACAAGTCCCATCTCCTGAACACTCCTACTTCCCTACTTTTGCTTCATTAACACTCAGAAGCCTTTCTTGACTCCCTCCCCCCAACACACATACCTAGTTATCACAGTGCATTAACTGCCCATCTTTCTGCTAGACTACATGGTCCATGAGAGTAGGTACCCTGCCTATTTTTAGTTATATCCCAGCACCCAGCACCCTGCCTAGCATATAGGAGAAGTTCAATAGATATTTGTAGAATAAATGAATAAAAAATAAATGTGTCACTGCTTTGTACTAGCAGCAATATCAGTATCTTAAGCCTACTTTATTTGCATGCAGCGTAAGCTCACTATTGAATCCAAAAAAAAGGATTCTAGTTCTGTTTTCTTTTTTTAAACTTATCTTTAAGCAGTAGAACCCTGTTTTTTTTTTTTTTTCCAAATGAAATGTGTGTTAGAGCCCAATTTATATAAAGTGGATAAAAATAGAGCTGCATATATTGAAACTGGGCTGGGGAAGCATCATCTACCCACCCCTTTTGATCCTGAGGGATTTCTGCAGGACATGTCATTAGGACACTCAGAACTTAGTTTAAAAACCACTGATCGAACCAAATCCTACTGCAACTAGGCAGGTACATTCATATCACTTGAGACTTTGGTTTTTAAAATCTTCTGAGAAGCATCCACTAATAGAAGAAGGTGCTTGTTTATCTAAAGAAATGAGGACTCAAATATGAGACCATCAAGTAACTCTAGTTCAGCTTTTCTGATGATGCTTTTCTAACCCAGAATGAAAGAGTAAAGTACACTTTGAAAGATTCAGAGGCTCAAAGTACTTCAAGACATAGATTGACCACACTTTACCATGAACCTTGACATCTGGGTGTGGGGGGTGGTTCAGAGTGAGTGAAAGCATAAGAGGATTTCCCTGATGGTGTTTCTGCTTTGGTTGGAGTCTGAGGTCAATCACATGTGTAAAGTTCTAATCCTCATATGCAGGTGTGAGTTCCTTATGTTGCTGATACTCAGCATTGAAATCTAGGATTCTTTTCATTAGGAAATTTTTTCTCACAGTGTTTTCTGCTAAAGGGAACCAACTTGCTCCAGACAGAACAGCATTTAGAAAAGCACAAGAAGAACATTTTTCAATAGGAAATCACACAGTGAAATGTTGCTTGGGCAGATGAGCCACAGCTGGAAATGACTGAGAGGAAAGACTAGTCAAGGGCCCACACAATACACTGGGGGAGGCTGTGGCATCAGCTCTTATCAGAGGGCCATCAACACTTAGTGTACCAACGGAAGCCTTGGTCTTAAAACCAGCAAGAGACAATTTCCTCTAAATTTCTTGGGGGGAAAAATGGGAACACTTTCATGCCTATAAATACGGTTTACTTTGAATGCAGGCAAAACTTGAAGCATGAATAAAAATCTGAGTAACTTAATGACTATACGATCAGGAAGTGTGGAACAACCTCTATTAGACAAAAGTATGATAAAAATTTATTTTCTTTCACTGACTATAACATTAAGAAGAAGTCAAGAAAAATGCTCTACATAATAATGGATAAATTTAGGAGCAAGGGCCATTGGAAAGAGGCTACCTCTAACTCTGCTTATGCTTAAAACATTGTTGACAGTCACTAAATTTGACACAAGTGTACTACAAAAATTTATTCTTTGCTGAGGCAGATGAGGCAAATAGATCACATTCGTAACAGTACAGTCAAAACCTAAGTACTTAAGAGATGTTCAGTTCAGTTCCTGGCTAAAGAGCTTACAATCTACTTTTAGCCTCAGAAACAGGCAAGCAAATGAATTGTAGAGGGTATGGCAAGTGTTGCAATAGCTGGAAGCACAGGGAGAACACAGGAGAGGAATACCTAACCCAGCATGCGTTCTGACCAGGGGAGGCTTTGACAGGAGGTGATAGCTGGGCTGTCTTGAAGGTAAATAATGCAGAAAGGAGGGAAAAGGGGAAAGGGTAGTGGAGGTGAGATGGGGGAGGGGTTCTAGATGAGAGAGCAGCATGTACAAAGAGGAGAAAGTGTTGCTTGTTTAGTAGTGTCATATGGTTAGAACATAAAGTGTTTGTGAGGGGATGGCAGGAGATTTAGCTAAAAAAGTAGGGAGGACTAAAGCCATAAAGGACATGAAGGTGTCAAGCTAAGGAGGGTGAACATCAGTCCTTAAGGTTACAGGGAGCCATTAAGGGAAATAAACAGAGAAATAACATGATCAGATAAGCAATTTGGAAAGAATCTATTAGTAGCAGCATGGTGTCAAAGTATAATTTTCAAAAAGTTTTTAAAATGAGCCTCATGTTAATATAGAATGGACACTGGTCAAGAATTTTATTTAACTCATTAAATAATGAGGGAACCAGTAATTTAGGTAAGCTGGTTCCAAGACACTTGAAGAATGGGGGTTTACATAGGCTCTCAGGAGAGGAATCAAAATGAGTTTCTTATTCTTTTAAGTTAGAGACAGTTCTGGTTAGTGTT